CCGGCCAACCCCCCGTTTGAATCCCTGCCACATACGAGATGCTCGTAGACCTGCAGGAGTCCCCACAACTCGGTGTCACTGTTGACCGCTCCTTCCAACATCTCCGCGGCTTCTTAAAGTGTTTATAATGATTGTGATTTTTATCATCCAGACTAACATCCTCGGACCAGTCGGTGAGTTTGAGGCCGAGCAGCTCCTGTATCACTGTGCTGGAGCTGTGAGCTGCTGGTTCAAACCCCCACTGGTCCACATGGTACTGTATATGGTATCACTGTGCTGGATGTGGATGATCATTTCCATGGAATCAATGTATCTTCAGGATAATATTTAGACTTTAATAACAAACATTTAGCTGCTAGCTAAATTTCTTAAGGGTTCAGTTAAAATTCTGTTTCTGAAGTAAAATATTTCCGTACATAAATGTAGTTATTTTTCACCCTGCAGTACAACTATTCTACAACCATAACTGTAATACAGACATACAGCTTCAATGTGTCTTAGAGCATTGTTTCCCAAAGACTGGGTCGCGGCCCTCAGGTGGGTCATCTCGCATCATGTTTCCCAGGATTTTACAAATAATGTTTATTGACTTGGGTCGTGAAGGTTTGTGACTTTTAAAATACGAGTCCCTAGAAAAAAAAAGTTTGGGAAACCCTGTCTTAGAGAATGACCGACTCTGACCTCATGCCTTGTCTTTTTTGTTTTTACTTCAACAAGGTCAATCTTTACGAATCATTTGGCTACGTCTTCATCTTCCAGATCATTGTCATAAGTGTTCGTTATACGTTATGCATCAAACGTCCAAACATCATCAAAATATATTTTTAAAATAACACATGGTGTTTTGGAGAGAATTTTTTTTCCTTAACTTTATATTCAAACAATGATTCTGAGGTCAGAGGTCAGAGTTGTTGAATGTATAGATTATTTATGGGATAGGTAGAAATATGTGGTTTGCTAATATTGGTCAATATTGGTACACTACGGATGGTAGTGTGGGCTGCATGGGTGGCTGTGGGCTGCATGGGTGGTGATGGACCAGGGTTCACACTGTCAACTCACCGTGGGCATCCCTGCCACATACGAGATGCTCGTAGAACTGCGACACCCCGCGGCTACGGCGCCCCCCCCCCCCCCCCGGCGCGGTGCCCCCCCCCCCCCCCCCCCCGCCCCCCCCCCCCGCCCCCCCCGCCGGTCTCCCTCCCCCTCTCCTCCGCCGAGTCCAGCCTCGCTGCCTCTCCTAAAGCTCTGCCTGCCACCTCCTCCACCAGGGTCTCCACACAGGCTGTCAGGCAGACGGCTGCGTACTCGTGTACGCGCACGGAAACGCGCGTCTCCACCATCCACCTGAAGAACCGGCCGACGGAGAGCGTCAGACCGCAGCGCGCAGACTCCCCCCGCTGCCGAGCGACGTCTCCGGAGCTCATGCAGTGCAGCGACACGGCCCTCACCGCCGAGGAGACGCATCGCTCGGCTAAACCACAGCTCAGCACCAGCTTAGCGGCGCTCTGCACCTCCAGCCGAGTGCACCGGCGGTGGAGCTCACTGAGGCGCTGCGCCTCCCTGCAGATCCGCACCAACGCTCTCTGGAGCAGGACGGAGAGGCGGTGAACTGCCTCACGTGTAAACGAAGAGTCAACAACGGCAACTTTACGCACGACCTCCCGGAGCTCCTGCTCCGTCCACGGGGAGTCCTCCAGCTCCGGCAGGGAAGGGCATTTTGCAAGAGTGTCCGCTGCATCTTCCGGGAACGTGCTCACCGTGTCCCAGCTGCCGTTCCTGCTGTTCAGGGAACCGGCGTTCTGCCACCAGGGTGCGTGTTGAGACTGCACCGACCTCCCGGAGGAGGACAGGCTGGTTGAGGAGTTTGGATCCCCCGCCACATATCCCGGATCCAGACTCAGGTCCTCCAGATTTTTGAGCAACAAACTACTGGACATGTCGGCGAAAAGTGAACAAGGCTCGTCTCATGAATCCACTCTGAAGGAGTGAAGATCGGTCACTGCCCACGAGCCGGTTGCTGCGGGTTGCTGCTGGTTGCTGCTGGTTGCTGGTGTGTGTTCGAGAACGAACGAGAATAAACAAAACCAGTCAAGTCTGGAAGAGGAGCGTTTTCACTCACATGGTCCAATCAGATCCAGAGGCCAGTAAAAACACAGGTGAACGAAATGCTGCTCAACGTCTCCACCGTGTGGTCTAAACACAGTCGGATTCTGAGGGGTTGAATTTCCCACCGCGTCCTGCCCCAGACTAAAGACTAAAGTAGAGCAAACGTCACGGATTTTATTGAAATAAATACAACAGATACGTAGTCAATATTTCACCTTTTCACGGACATAAAGCTAAATCCAATGTATATATTATAAAGATTATTTTTTGACTAAACTCTTAGAAAACTCGCTTCGTCAATTTACAGTTTTACCACTAGATGTCGCCCTAAGTCTTGTTAACTTGCATGACTTACTGCCCTGTTTCCCAACCTTTTTTTGACCCACGGCACAACCCCAGACAAAAATCTCACAAAAATTATATATATGTAATGAAATATAATAATATTCTAGTTTAAATGACCTCATAATTGACTAAAATCTCGGCCTGTTTAGTTGAAGACGACGCTGATATACTGGCAGGAATTGAAGAAAGACACAAAGATCTTCTAAAAGAGCTCTGATTATCGTTTTTTTTTTTTTAAGTTTTCATAGCTATCTGCTGCCCCCTAGCAGAAGAGGATTTAATTGTTCTGCCTTTCATGCTTTGAATGAAAAATGATAATAAATAGATAATAGTTTTCAGCCAAATTAAGAGAAATCTGATTATTTTCCACGACACCTAATGATCTCTCAAGACATGACAAACACATTTAATTAAACGTTTTATTCGCTTTTTGTTTGAAAGCAACAACACTTTATATAAAAAAAATAATTACAATTCATCTTCGCCTCCATGTGTCGATGAAAACACAATCACCCTGATCGTCGATATTTAGAAATCATTGTTTATTGTATTTTATTTTGTTTTTTGGTTGATCACCTTAGCATTTAAATATACGCGTGACCGTCGTTTATTACAAGATTTTAATGTTGTTTTATTTCAACTTTCATCTGAAACATTTGAAACTCAAACATTTTTAATCCTCAGCTTCAGTTAAACAGAGACATGCTTTACCTCAACTGACCAACAGATGTCAGGCTTTCACTATCACTACTGAACTATCGCTCATTATCCACTCGGGAAACTAGTGCTAAATCCTCCACACACTCGTGTACTTCTAACATTATGTAAACATTATGGTAACTGAATATAATGACGTCACCACAGGACTATTGGGTTTTTTTTTTTGACACTACTGGACTGGAGTTTGAATCTCACGAGGTCCATCAAGGTATTATTTGCCCATAAATTTGATAGGAGCCCCAAACGGGCCACATGTACGGGTCTATATAAACATCTCCCCTACTATTATTTCTGACATTTGGTAAAAGTCAGCGTCAGTTACTGCCATTAATACTGAAGCAGCAGGTAGTACGACATGAAGTATCAGTTCCTGCTTTCTAGTTGACAGGTATTGCTTTCTCACAGAAGTTTATAAAGAAAAAAAATACACAAAACAAGAAGAGAAACTATGTCTGTGTCGCTAACACGTCAGATCACAAACCCCGATAATAATCTCTTTACAAATACAACTCCGTCAACTTTCTCAGAGACAGTGAATAAAGGAGCAGGCTCAACCATTCCACCGACAATAAATTATTGAGCTAAAAATACATTTGTTTTAAAAGAGTTTGTGAACAATCATGGTGGCGAGCCAGCTCACCACATCACCACATCAGAGGTTTTCATGTTTGCCTGAGTTACGTCACGTCAGTCCCTCTGTTTCTCCACAGACGAGCGTTTGGCACATCCACACTGTAAGGCATCGAGTCTTTAAGGAAAAAAAAAAAAAAAACTAAATATAACTAATTCTACTGGCAAACACTGTAGAAAGGCTTGTTTTTGTAAATGTATTGGACAAAACATTAGAAAGTACTAAATGCTTTCCCCAGTTCTCTGTACAAGTCTCAATTCCCAGAAAACAAACAGGAAGGAGGTTTGAAGGCCAACGCCTGTCGACAGAAAGGCAGGTTTTTCTCTTCCAATGAGTTTGATGTCATTGTGTCCTAGGAACAAGCAAGAATTTTTCAAAGCTAAGGAAAAATGATTAAAAAAAAATAATGGTATCATGAAACTTTACAAACTGTACCGTGTTGGCAGTGAAACCAGGAGTAAAACATCATAATTAATACCATTCTGACAAACTGGAATTCTAAGTATCTGTCTACCACGGACGACAACACTACAATCAACTACCGACCTCATTCAGACGCCATGTTAATATTTGATCCTTATATATTTAAAATGACAGTAATGTTGACTGCGACCGTGAGGCGTAAACAAAACTAGAAATGGATCAATACGATACTGAGAATCGGTCATTGGTATTGGTCCGATATCTGTCAAAATTTCAGACATAACAAGACAACTATAGAAGTCCGATCTGATCCGATATCTAAGCTCAAACGCTCAACTTAACTCCCTGCGACATGCCATAAACAGGGACACTATCGCCTTAGCAAACGCAAGGATATCGGATTGATATCAGTATCGGCACACAGTCCCAAGCCAACTTAATCAAAACATGATTTAAATTATTTCGATATCCCAAGCCATCTTAATCAAAACATGATTTAAATTATTTTTTATACTAACGATGCTGTTATCCATTTCTTTTTTGCTTCAACACCAGGTAAAAATTTGAAAAAAAAAATTGTACATTACAAAACAATTTTTCAAAATGTGGTAAAAAATGAAGAGAAAAAAAAATAAGTTTCATAAAGCGCTAGGTAGCCAATATAAACATTGGCCTAGAAACACATTTTCAGCTGAGTATTGCTTTTTTTTTTTTTTTTTTAACTAAAACTACTAAAACAATTAATCATATTTTGTCCATCAATCACTGTGTAAAAGTTCAGGGCTGAGCTGCAGTTGTTAAATATTCTTAGATTCTCACTGGGAGGACCATATTTTTCCGGAGTATAAGTCGCAGCAGCCAAAAGATAAAAATGACATTTGAAAACTTGGCAAAGCGTTAGATTCAAACGCAGAATTTTTTGCTATTTTGTGATAAACATTTTTTTAAAACATTTTTAGTTTTACTTTGATGTGCAGAGGCCCAGACTTAGGTAGTTTCAGTCGTTCACTAATATATTATCCAATAAATAGATAAAATTACTGATCAGTACAAATCGATTTTATTAAAAAAAAAAAATCTTTGTTATCGGGTTATTGATGATTAATTTTCAATTCTTTGTATTAGGTTATTTTATAATGTGGCAGGTGGCTCCTCTTTGCTCAACTCCTGGTTCGTGGTACTGTTGGTGCCCACAGCTGAGGCTCGCTCCAGGAGCTCCACCACATAACTGTCCTCCGTCACCTCACCTGCCAAGGAGCTCTCGGACTGAAGCAGCTCAGAACTTGACAGAGTCCGGTGGACGTCCATGGAGGACAGGTCAGTGCTAAAGGTGGTCGGCAGAGGTGTTTCTGAAAAGCGTGACCTCGACTGAGATTCTGGGATTACGTCGGTCCGTGGTTCATCTGCCTCCTGATCTGACGTCTCATCGACTGGGCGACAGTCTGGAGGCTGATACGGTGGAGGTCCCGTTAGTGGGGAGCCATCGGGGGTGAGGAGGGCCTGGCTGTGGATGATGATGGGGTCGGGGGAGGGAAGTGGAGCTCCTGCAACCTCCAGATCCCTGGGGTCCTTGGAGGGGCTCTGGTCGGGTGATATGGTGTCAGGCTGTTGAGTGATGATTTGTAGGCTCAGCCCAGCTCTGGGCACCTGGCCGGCAGACACTGTTTTGTCTCTGGAGGACTGGACGGCACTTAACATCAGTGGCAACTCCTGACCGAGAGGTTTAGACGGAAACTCGTCCATTTTCGCTGAAAAACAACCAGTAACAGCGTTTGAACACGTTGAATTCTTAAAAATGGTCACATTGGGATCTGCTAGGCTTTTATTCAGTTTATCATTTTTACCTGGCGGTGGAAGGTCCAGCTTCATTCTCCGCAGCTCGGACATGGAAGCCTGAAGCTGCTCGACGATCACGTCGTCGCTGTAGAAAAACGTCTGTGCGATTCGCTCCTGCAGAAACTCCCTGAGCTCCTCCAGAGACATCTTCAGCAGGCGTTCTGCATCGACACGTACGGGTTAAACAATTTCACACGCCCTGATAGGATTCGTAGTGGAGACGACAGCTGATATTTTTCATAAATGCAAAAAAAAAAAAAAAAAAATCCTAACACTTTATTTACACTTTTCTTGCACAAAACAAGCTGAAACACATCTGTAGAGAATTAATCATTTAAATTTTTTTTGGATGAGGACAAAAACCTCAACAGCATGTACTTACTATAGTGAGGGGGAAAAAAATCCATACCTTTTGCACGAACAAAAATATTTTATCTCTGATGAGAAAATTATTCATCAGTTGGTTTAGAAAAATAATAATAGAAAAATGTTACCCTTTAAAGATGATGAGAAAATTATTCATCAGCTGGTTTAGAAAAATAATAGAAAAATGTTACCCTTTAAAGCAAAAAAAAAAATGAAATGTCATACAACATAGAATCTTTGTTCTATTCCTTGGTGCTTTATTCTATTTCATTTCTCTCATCTTGGCTCCGTGGCGTTTTTTGACTGGTTTTGGACACAAATAGCCAATAAAACCTTGAATATAGAAATAAGAATCATTTGTGACTTTACATAAACTGATTTACTCGTATTTTCCATGTCACTGGTGTGAAACTAAAACGTGAACTCACAGCTAACAGCATTGGCTGCAGTTTGACTTTTTATAAAGAAAAGGCAATAAAAGAGCATTTATTTTTTTGAGGCCAATCTTCCAGAGAATGAATCGACTGTTAGCTGCTGTGTAGATTCAGATTCAGCCAAGACTGAAACTGAAAACAAGAAGAGCAGAATGCTGCTGCTGTAAGTCGTGTACGTAAAAAAAAAAAAAAAATTTTACAGTAACGGTTCAAACCTTACTGTCAGATATGTTATTGTCATTATTTTTACAAACCTAGCCTGACTATGTTGACAGGAATCAAAAATTGGAAGACTTTTTTTTACTTTTTTCAAAAATAACTTTTTACATTATTTTGTTATATTTGTTGTGTTAATTTGCCAATTCCTAAATGTTACATCGCTTCACGGTCAGTGTCGTCTGATTCTCTAAATCACCTGGACCGCATGCAGACCAGTCAACCACATGAACTCAATATCTAGACAACAAAAAGTATTGTCCTGCTAAGAGACCCAAAGATTTCTACAGATCATATTTTGCTTCAATGCTGGGACTTTTGTTGATAATGATCAGACAATGTTTGTCTAAAAAATGTGACCTGTAAATATTTTATTCTTAAATTTAAACATTGTGTTTACATTACAAACCAACATTAAATTCCCACCTCAGGGTCAGACCAAGCGTTTCTGTCATAATGTCAGGTTGAACTTACTTTTGTGTATCTTCAGGATGGTGAAAGCCATGGCGGTGAGCATCCTCTCCCCCTCCAGGATGAAAATGTCCCACAAACGAAGGGTCAGCGTGAACGGCGTCTGGGAAATCACAGCCACAACAAGTTGTCGTTAAATAACAAGGATTTTTGATGTGTACCAGCTGGTCCCCGACCAGAGTCAGAAGGTTTGTTTGGGTCTATCCCAGACCTCACGGGCCCGGGGGGACGCGGGGGGGGGGGCAAGCATAAGTGCTGACATCAGCCAAATGCTGCCAGACCACTGACACCACAGAAATCTGTGCACAGAGACAGGAGGCTAATGGGACTCTTAATGCCCCGGCGTAGGCAGAGCTCAAATATCACCAGGAAAAAAAATAAATAAATAACAACAATATGAAATCACCGCTGTAACCGCTGTCAAAAAGGGAATTTGACAAATTGATCAAGTTGGTTGTTGCTCGCTTTTATGACCTGGACTTCAACAGGAGCCTCATTCATTTTCTGTTATATATATATATATTTCCTCATGGAAGGTCCAAGTTTTACAGTATATTAAAAAAACTGCAGTTGCAACATAATGTATACAAAACTGTTCCCGAGCACCGTCACAGTTTTCTTGGTAACATGGACGAAGACACGTGTAAATTCCTTCTCACCCTGTCGATGAAACACTGGAGAAACCATTTTGTGCTGTAAATCCCCGCAGACATCTGCTCTCTGTCCTGCAGTTAAAAAAAGGAGACGAGAAAAAAAAAAAAATGTGACAGAGAATCAGCGAGGGAGGAAAAGTGTTTCTCGAACTGACTGTGGCTCAGTGTCAGAACAGTTTATGGTTTTATAAACAACGAGGTGGTTGAGGGTTTAGCTGCCAAACATTCAGGACACAGTGTGAAGCAGCAGTAAAACACATGAGCTAACGAATAAGTGCTAGGACTATTATTCACTTTCGCTCTGTTCCCTTGGCCAACGTGTTGACGTGTTGCCGCAGAAGAAAATCTCAGTGACCCAGCTACTGTAGGACTACAGAAACACAGACTCAGAATCATCAAGTTATTTTTTTTAATTTATATCTAGTTGTTTTGTGCTAATGTTGTGAGTCTAAAGATTCTTGCGATGTCTGTTATGATGACCAGCCCGACCCAAACCATCGGTATTCAAACATCACACAAGGGCGACTTAATTTTTTTTACTATTTCAAAATTCCATGTTTTTGGTTAAAAAAAGGTAATTGTCAGAATGTTAGTCGTTCACAGTGTCCTCACCAGATGCTTCTTCAGTTTGGGGAGGAGTTTGGAAATAATCTGATCATGATGTGTTTGGAATCGGTGAAGTTTGGGGAATCCAGGTATGAAAAAGCCTTCAGGGAGAAGAGAGAGAGAGGTCAGAGGTCAGAGGTCAGAGTAGACGAACAGACTGAAGGCTCTTCACTGTGAAGACTCACCGTGCATGCCTTGTTTCTGATTGGTCAGCAGCTGTGACAGGGCCCAGAAGGCGTCCTCCTCATTCATGAACATCAGGAGCAGCGCGGCGATCTGACTCATACCCTGACAGTAACTGACCTCCTGCAACGACGAAGGAAAGAAAATCAAACATCTACAAGTGTTACACGTTTGTACTGATGTTCCTGTAGAAACGCAGAGATGCTGGTCTGACTCTGAGGTCGGAATTTACTGTTGGTCTGTACTGTAAACACACCGTCAGGGTCACATATTTTAGACAACCATTCTGATCATTATCAACAAAGGCCCGGCATTGAAGCAAAATATGATCTGAAGAAATCTTTGGGTTTCTTAGCAGGACAATACTTTTTAGTTTGACACAAAATAAAAAAATAAAAATCTCCTAGACATTGAGTTCATGTGGTTGACTGGCCTGCATGCAGTCCAGATGATTTAGAGAATCAGACAAATTAACACACCAAATGAAACAAAACAAAATGTAAAAAGTAATTTTTGAAAAAGTAAAAAAAAAAAAAAAACACTGACCGTGAAGCAATGTAACGCTTTGGAATTAGCAAATTAACACAACAAAATGTTAAAAGTAATTTTTTTTAAAAAAAGTTTAAAAAAAGTCTTTTTTCCCAGTGTATTCCTGTCAACATGCTTAGGCTAGGTTCATGAAAATAATGTCAGTGTTGCTTCATCTAAAACATATACATACAAGTGTTTTAGCAAATGAAAAAAAAAATTCTAATTTTATTTTTATGAAGTTCTGATAGTGAGGTTTGAACCATTGGACTGTAAACAAAAAAAAAATCCACAGGGTCTACTGTGATTACATCAGCAGGATAGAATATATAACAGGGTCCTGCCTCCTGCAGCCAGTGACAGCATTAGCATAAATAGCAACATCAGCACTAGCAGTGGAGCAATGTCATATAATAGTGAATCCACAGTGCATTACAGGAACACCTGGATTCACACTGCACTGTAATAGTATACATATACATATACACATATATATATACACATATATACATATATATATAT